TGCATATCTTTGTAAAAATATAAATTTACAACCCACCCACATGTATACAATCAATCAATGGAGTAACTCGGTTCTCCGAACTGGAACCAATCAAATCTATGATATTTTCAGTTACAACTAAACAACAACAATTCCACCCTGCTCAACTAGCTATGCGCTTAGTAAGCCAAAGATATATTGAAATAACTACAACCAACTTCGCCCTACTAGCTATGTGCGTAGTAAGCCAAAATACCAGTTTACCAGGCGCTAGCTGGAAGGGTATGGTGCCTTCTATTATTAGCGCATACAGTTCTCCAGGCGCTAGCTGGAAGGGTATGGTGCCTTCTATTATTAGCGCATACAGTTCTCCAGGCGCTAGCTGGAAGGGTATGGTGCCTTCTATTATTAGCGCATACAGTTCTCCAGGCGCTAGCTGGAAGGGTATGGTGCCTTCTATTATTAGCGCATACAGTTCTCCAGGCGCTAGCTGGAAGGGTATGGTGCCTTCTATTATTAGCGCATACAGTTCTCCAGGCGCTAGCTGGAAGGGTATGGTGCCTTCTATTATTAGCGCATACAGTTCTCCAGGCGCTAGCTGGAAGGGTATGGTGCCTTCTATTATTAGCGCATACAGTTCTCCAGGCGCTAGCTGGAAGGGTATGGTGCCTTCTATTATTAGCGCATACAGTTCTCCAGGCGCTAGCTGGAAGGGTATGGTGCCTTCTATTATTAGCGCATACAGTTCTCCAGGCGCTAGCTGGAAGGGTATGGTGCCTTCTATTATTAGCGCATACAGTTCTCCAGGCGCTAGCTGGAAGGGTATGGTGCCTTCTATTATTAGCGCATACAGTTCTCCAGGCGCTAGCTGGAAGGGTATGGTGCCTTCTATTATTAGCGCATACAGTTCTCCAGGCGCTAGCTGGAAGGGTATGGTGCCTTCTATTATTAGCGCATACAGTTCTCCAGGCGCTAGCTGGAAGGGTATGGTGCCTTCTATTATTAGCGCATACAGTTCTCCAGGCGCTAGCTGGAAGGGTATGGTGCCTTCTATTATTAGCGCATACAGTTCTCCAGGCGCTAGCTGGAAGGGTATGGTGCCTTCTATTATTAGCGCATACAGTTCTCCAGGCGCTAGCTGGAAGGGTATGGTGCCTTCTATTATTAGCGCATACAGTTCTCCAGGTGCTAGCTGGAAGGTAACGGTACCTTTGATTATAAGCGCGGCATATAACGCCAACAACAACCATGCAACAAGGCATATCCAACATGTATAATGCATATACATAACCAACAAGAATCTAGCAACGAGTTAAAGTAGATAAACACATAGGTGTAATGTATACACAACAATTCGACACAATCATGTCATCCTTCACCGATGACCAAGGACAGAACCTCTAGATGCATGTATATTGTACATCTATTAACAGATTCAAATATCATGAGATCATCAACTTATCACTAATACTAACATAGTAGTATAAGATACAACAATCCAACATTCATACTCATTTCAAAGTACCTTTCCCATTTCACAAAACCAACTCTCTTTATTTTTCAAACCGGTTTTATTCCTTTTGTTTTTCACAAAATCAAATCCAAGGACAATAAAGCCAAAGCTCATTTTAATCTACTACATTCATCTCCAAGCCATTCCAATTTAATTATACAAATTAAATCATAATCACTAAAATAGGATTTCCCTCCCCTTCTCCCAATATTGATAAAAAGGTTCAATCATCTACAACAAACAACAATGGCTTCATTCAAAACCCAAAATACCCAAGTATTTACCCAATGATCAAAACCCCTCTATTGAGTTATTAAACCAAATAAATATTAGGGTTTCCTCTCCTTACAACAACAACATGCTAATTAACACCCAATTAGCCCCAAAACACATCTAATGATAATGGATCTAAATCCAACAACTAACCCAAAGTTCAACCTCATGAATTTATACCAAAATCCAACAAGAAATGGTTTTCATGCAATACAAAAATTACCACATGTCTATCTATAGACGTGGTATTGAAAAAGAACAAGGAGAATCCCTACCTCAAAGGAGAACTCAAAAGGAGATGATGACCCGAAATCAAAGTGCTCCAAATCCACAATTTTTTCCGATTAAGACAAAGCCCTCGACACCCTCTACCTTTTTAACAAAGGACCTAGGATGGATTCATACTAGAAGGAGATGAAATCTAGAGAGATAATAAGTTTAAAGAGAAAGACTCTCGGCTGCTAGGGTTTCAAGAATGAAAGAGGGAGAAAAATGATCTTTTTCCCCGCTGCTGCCTACTGAAATACGATAGACTCGCTCGAGCGAAAACCTGGTCGCTCGAGCGACCAGACACAGAAAACTCACGGGCGGGCAAACAAACCAGAAGCTCGCTCGAGCGACAAAGTCTCGCTCGAGCCAAGAATTCCAGTGTTCAGGTCCTAGTACTAGACGCAATGCTCGCTCGAGCGAAGCCACCCTGGCTCGACCCACCAGACACAAAACTCCACGCTCACTCGAGCGACAAACATCTAGCTCGAGCGAAGGACTAAAAACCTGGGCAGCAACCACTTGCTCCCAATCACACCCAACCTAGAACGAACAAGTCCAAAACATTCTATAACTCAAATTTAAAGAATTGAAGGACAGAAACAAGTTCAAAACAACAACCGGAATCCACGGAACTAAGTCCGGATACTACAACCAAAGGAGAAAGAACCGGGATCGCTATAATAATCATATGCAAAAACAGTTTTATAGCAGTAAAATTGACTATATCAATTGGGAATCGACTTGATTTGTTACTTTCAATAATTGCCTGATCCACTTTGAATTTTAATTTCAATTGATCAAAAGGGAAAATATTTGATATGTATTAACAGATACATGCTGGTAATGTGTATATTTGGATGAACTTTGGAATTGTTGATGGTGTACATTATTTTATTTTTTTTTATCAACAAAAGAAATATTTATTGATGAAGAACCAAATACAAGAGGAAAACTTGCATCAATATTTTTTGATGGTGTACATTATTGATGTTGTGAAGCAATCATAAACATATATTAGATACCAATTAATTAATTGTCCTCCTTTGATCATATGTGTGCTTGGCATTATGAAGAAATGATGCTATTTTAGAAATGAAATGAAAAATACAAATATTATCAAGTCCTGCTATTTCACGTGTGTATATATAATGTCAAATCTTATCATGTAAATGGCTACCAAACATCAAATAAACTCACTCTTTAATACCCTGTAAATGCTAACAGTATACTATCATTAGGAACAATGCTTGAAACGTCATAACATCACTCCAAAATTTAATTTTAATGACAGAAAATATTTAAAATGCTAAATTATCACTCCCAAATTTAATTCTAACGACGTAATGGGATCTTGCATATATAAAATTGGTAGTAAATGGGACATTTATTGAGATCTTCCAGTGAATTTTATATACTTCAATGATTCTAAGAAATTGTTTTACTTGTTAATGATCTTTTCATTTACTTTTTTATGTTAACTTTTTTTACTTGTTAATGATTCTAAAAAAAATTCTTCCTATCTTGCATACTTGTTATTTTTTTAGGTAATACGTCTCATACTCTTCCTATCTTGCCTACTTGTTTTACTTGTTAATGATTCTAAAAAAAATTCTCACGTTTTGAAAATTATAAATATAAAAGGGAGGGGCCATTTGTTATATGATTAAAAACAGCAAGGCATGGGATGTAATTTTTTAAATGTGAGGGAAAAATTAACATTTTTAAAAAATAGTGGAATTTTTTAAAAATAATCATATGCAAAAACAGTTTTATAGCAGTAAAATTGACTATATCAATTGGGAGTCGACTAGATTTGTTACTTTCAATAATTGCCTGATCCACATTGAATTTTAATTTTAATTGATCAAAAGTGAAAATATTTGATATGTATTAACAGATACATGCTGGTAATGTGTATATTTGGATGAACTTTGGAATTGTTGATGGTGTACATTATTATTTTTATTTTTTTATCAACAAAAGAAATATTTATTGATGAAGAACCAAATACAAGAGGAAAACTTACATCAATATTTTTTTATGGTCTACATTATTGATGTAGTGAAGCATTCATAAACATATATTAAATACCAATTAATTAATTATCCTCCTTTGATCATATGTGTTCTTGGCATTATGAAGAAATGATGC